TGTGTGCACATCAACACACACCCTAGCCTTGACGCTGATTTTACCATCAGTGAAGAAAATAAGTAAAAGAATATTACCGACAAAAATACAATAGGAATCAAAAAAAAAGAATAACATTTTTTTCAAAACAGATAAAGCCTTAAGTAATATTAATGATTAGAAAAACATGTTTACAGTCATGATATAGCCAGCAATCTAATCTTTTCACCATCCACACAAAAATCTTGTGCATCAGTGTTTAATGCGTGTTCATAATTGCCAAAACTTGGAAGCAGCCAAGAGGTTCTTCAACAGGTGAAGAGGCAAACTGTGATAGAGCCAAATGATGGAAAATTATTCAGCAATAAAAAGAAATGAGCTATCAAGCCACAAAAATATAGGGAGGAAACTTAAGAATGCATATTACTATATGGAAGAAGCCAATTTTGGAGGAAAAATATCATGATTCCATCTATACAAAATTCTGATATGTAAAATTACAGACAGTAAAAAGAACAGAAGTTGCCAGGAGTTCAGATGAACAAAATGAAGGAACTAAGGAACAAAAAGAGGTAGTGTGCACAGATGATTTTTAGACAGTGAAACTATCCCACTACTACTGCTCAGATAGGTACACGTCATTGTTTATCTGGAAGTACACAGAGACTATGCAGCAAAAAGCACGAACCCCAAAATAAGATAAGAATTTAATAACAATGTGTCCCTGACACACATATGTACAAGATTCAAAGTAACTGAGTTTGTATGCTTGTCACCATCAAAACAAAGCTCAAAGAGCATAACAATAGTTACAACTATCAGCTGTCTCACAAACAATAAACATTTTATAATCTAGATATAAGACATTTAATAACACAAGTATGAAGCAACATGGCAAAATAGGAGACCTCTGGCTTCATTTTACTGCATGAAAAATTACGAGTAGCAACTGTCCACAGGTAAGAATACACTCCTAGAACTCATAAATCCAGGTCAGAACTTCTGTGTAACACAGCCCTGAGATAAATAGTCAAGTGGCGTGCAGAATGATTCTCGCTGACCACACTGCCTCTCCCTCATGTACAGATCATCCATAGAGAATTGCCTAGGAATTACAGTTTCTACTGTGAGAAATACAAATTGAAGGTGTGCATTCAGCTTCTCCAGTGTTCTGGGTCCCCAGGTAGGAGACTCACTCGTGTTCTGTCCATGGGAAACATTAGGAGTATCTACATTCGTGGACCACCAGGGGTCAGGCAAAATGAAGAACAGGGAAAGAGCTCACAGCAAACTTGATGTTGGTTCACTGCTCTGTCTTTTAGCCAATGGAGGTACCACAAAAGGAAAACCAGCCCACAGCATCACAACATAATCCATAATCCTCCAGGCTTGAAGTCTCAGCCAGTTTCCCCACATTCCCCACACAGCCTGGGTGTTCTTACACCTTCTCCAGACTAAGAGACAACTTCGGTTCAGCAATTATAACAGAAGGAGTTTCTGACCTTTAATTCCAGTTATAGGGTTACAAATTCACCAGACTTCAGTGTCCTACCTAAGGGTACCCCAAGTCAGAAGGTAAGTCCATTTCCACATACATCTGAGTATAACTTCTAGCCATGTCCTCCCAAGTATTTGAGCAGCAAACCTCGAGACATTACCAACCTCAGAGACCATCACATGGCCTAACACAGATTCCAAATGGTTGTACTCCCAACAGGGAAAACAAACACTAGCCCTGCCTGATTACAATAATCTCTGAGCAGCCATATTTGAAAAAAACTCGCCCACCCCGTGGTCTTAACAGAGCATGGAGAGCAGTCACTAACATCATTCCATTGTAGAGGACAAGGAGTAGCCAGTCCAGTGAGCAAACCTTGCCTGTCCAGCATTAGCAGAGAGCTCATCCAGGTTCCTGGCTAAACAATGTTGAGTAAAAAAATAAAGCTGGAGGCATCACACTCTGATTTCAAAACACATTACAAAGTGATTGTAAGAACAAAGCAGCATGATACTGACATAAAAACAGACACTTTGATTAATGGAGCAAAATAGAGAACTGAGCAACAAAGCCCATGCCTTGACATTTAACTGATTTATGACAAAGATGCCATGAGAAGCCGAAGGGCAAAGGATGGTCCCTTCAGTAAATGGTACTGGGAATACTGAGTAGCCACATAGTAAAGGATGCAATTAATCCTTGATTTCATGTCACATGACAATCGGCTCAAAATGGATGAAATTTTTAAATATATGACCAAAAACTGTAAGGTTATTACAAGAAAATGAAGGAAAGACAAGGGTCTTAGCAAAGATTTTTTTTATATGACTGAAAACACAACAAGAACAAAAATAGATGAAAGTGATTTTTCCAAGCTTTTTTCTAGGAAATTGTTTTGATGTCTAGCTATGACTTGGTTTTCCCTATAATACAGAGAGGATAGATATATATATATATGTAGAAATTCACACATGGGTTTTTTTTTTATTATTTACGGGAACAGATTATATAATGCAAGATGTAATGAACAGATACTCTGAGGAAGAGACGCTAAGAAACCCGAGGCTAATTTTGTAGCATTATGATATAAATTCTAGCAATACTATTGTTCGCTGATTAGAATGACATTGGACTGGTTTCTTGAGTTCAATTTCAGCATATGTAGAGATGGGGACAGCTATCACAAAGAGAATGAGAGATGCAATGGTAGTTATTATTGTCTTCCCTAATTTGGAACTTGAGGACCTAAAAAGCCTTCATCATCCTGTAATGATTTGATTAGTTCTATAATATGCAATAAGTATATAAAGTGGGTGAAGATGGGGACAACTATTTGTAAGAAACTAGAGACAGTTAGATAGACAGTGAAGATCTCCAGTGGACTTGCTTTGAAATCTGTATTTCTTTAAATTGTTTTTTAAATGTTTTGTTCTGTTTTGATATGTTTAACCTTACCCTCTTTGAGATGTAAAACAAATGTGTAGGACTGATAACCATATTACTGAGCTTTTGTTCGATCATAGAGCAGAACGGTTTTTAGTGTCACTTTTTGAATGTCATTCTAAATACTTTAATTCTATAGCCTGAACAGCTATTTCTAAGATGACAATGTGTAACTTATCAACCAGCAATTTCTTACCGTTTGTTTTTCTGTAATTTTGTATTATTTCTACCCTTTTTTTAAATCTCCATGTATTTGTTTCCTTTTCTTTAAATAAAAAAAAGACTTTTGCACAGCAAAAGAAATAATTCACCAAGTGAATAGACAGCTCACAAAATAAGAGAAAGTGTTTGCAATCCATATATTTGATAAGGAGTTAATATCCAAAATGTACACAAACCACAAACAACTTGTAGCAAAAATACATTTAACTCAAAAATCTATGCATTTAACTCAAAAAAGTATGTAAAAGAAATTCACAATAAAAATATATTAAACTCACATGTGTTAAAATAGCCTTTATCAAAAACATGAAAAAGCCCTGTGTGGTGGCACAGTGCCTGTAGTCTCACCACTCAGGAGGCTGAGACAGGAGGATTACTGTGAGTTCACGGCCAGCCTGGCAACAAAGTAAGTTCAAGGCAATCTTGAACTGTGTAGCAAAACCCTGTCTCAAAAAGACCAAAAAAAATTAATTAAAGAAATAAAAAGACCATGAAAAATAAGTGTTATCAAGAGTGCAAAAAAATGAATCCTTACACATGGCCATATAAGTAAAACTAAAAATAGAACTAATCTGGGGCCCAGTAATCCCACTTCTAAAAGAATTCTGATTAATATGTCAAAGAGAAATCTGCACTTCCCTGCTCATAGCAGCATTATTCAAAGTTGCCAATAGTCTAAATGTCCATTCCGGATGAAGACAATGGAGCACCATGAGACCTGAAAGGAGTGGAATTCCTGTCCCAGGTGACAACGTAGAAGAATCTGGACAGCATTATGCCATGTGAAATAAAAAGATAAATATTGCATGATTTCATTTATATTTGAAATGTAATAAACTTGAACTCATAGTAGGGGAAAGGAGACTGTTTGTTACTAGAGGCTGGAAGAGTGGGGAGAAAAGCAAGACAGAGTAGCTGATCCAAGAGTGCTTGGTTTCAGGTGGACAGGAGGAATGGGGTTTGAGATTTATTACATACGTGGTGACTACTGTCAGTTAAAATGTACTGTATATTTCTGTCTTGGGGTAGAATATGGCCCAATTTATTTGGATAGGTTTATTTAATACTATCCATAAGTATAAAATTATAAGAAAGCATTTAGTTTGTAAAACTATATTTCATACTTACTGTAACAGTGATACATATTTCAGGAAATATATTTTGCTTTTAACACCCATTAATGGACTATAACTGGAACTATTAAAAATTGTGTGTGTATCATTAACAAATCACACACACACAAGGATGAGGTGGCGCACACCTGTAATCCCAGCTCTGATGGAAGCTGAGGCAGTAGGATAATAAATTTGAGTTTTCTTGGGCAACTTAGCATGGCAGTGCTTCAAAATAAGACATAGAAAGATGTGAGGATGGGTCTCACTGGTAGAGGGTCCCTGAGTTTGTGCCCCAGTACTCACACACACACACACACACACACACACACACACACACACACGTGTCCACACGTGCACATGCGGGAAATAGCAAACATAAGAGAAATTCATTATTCATAGCTGTTTGGGAATGATAAGCTTATTAGCATTAATTAAGTCACATCAGGAAAAGTTCTTTCATATAAAGATTCTCTTGTGCAATGGTTTTCCAGTCTGGCCAATTAAGACGGTTCTATTCTGTGGTAGGACTTAAAGGAACCTGGTTTGGGATTCATCTCTTAGTGTGTATCTTCCTGTTGTTGACTAATTAGTAACACATTGAACCAGGACGTCCTACAGAATCATCACAACATATTGGTGCCACCAAAATAAAATCTAACGTGACTGAAGCTTAAGCAATAGCTCCACCCTCTTCCTGTCGTCATAGATGTTTTGAGGCCACATATCCCCTATAGAGTACAAACCTTATGCTCAGGATGAGAGTCCTAGAGGTCTTCTGGCTGCCCATTTTGTAAGCAGGAAAATAAAATTCCCCAGCTCAGGAAATGAACAAGTGCTTTCAGTGTCCAGTGGAGTATAACCTGCACCAGAAGTAAACCTTATGTGTATTCAAGTCTTTTGGATGAGAGAAGGAACATTTTCATAGCCAATGAAAATTAGCAATCTATTCTCCAAAACTCATCATATTGAGGATCTATAGTTGAATTACTATACATTTAATAGAGAAAATATCATTGCCATACCCTTGTTATGTATAAAAGAACACTTATAATGATAAGTGCAATTTTAAAAAAAATCTGTATTACTTGCAACAATTAGAATGCATGTCTATCTTTTTCCTTTGTTAACAACTGCCCAAACTGAAAGTTTTTTTTCTAGAATAGCATATCATATAAATTTTGGAGTTAAATACATTTTTGTACTGTCTGTAATATATTTTACCATGAAGTTATTTTCAGAATAATGCAGCATTCTATAAGTTGTCACGTATTCAGACCATCTACTGAGAGATGTCATTTAACAGTGATCAGTTTGTAAAGATTATTTCATCTGATTCTTTCAAAAGAAAAACAAACTTTGAAATGAGGTAATACTTTAATCTTGGTGTTTGCAGACAGGTACAATGCATTTCATAAAGCTAAGTAGTTTAGACTGAAAGACTCTTGGAAGTGATTAAACCTTCAAGGCCTACATTAGAATCACTAGATAGATGAGATGTTTAAAATTTAGATTCCTAGACACCCCCCAACTCTTGTGAATTAGGATTTCTTGTAGAAAAACCCAGGAAGCACTGACAGGCCCTAATCACTCCCAAGCCACTGCCTAAATCATGGGCTTCTGCAGAATCAGTTCAGGGACAGCTGTGGGAACATAGAGAAGGCTTAATGGCTATTCCAAGTAGGCTGTATTTGGGGCATACATGGAGTTTCTCCTTATATTTCATTTAAAGGAAAAGTAGAGAAGGTGTTCTACTGTTTAAGATCTTTACCTGAAATTTTCAGATGAAGAAGTAAGTCTCATAAATATGAAAGGTCAAACAGTTGATCAGGACAAGCCGACATTCTTTGAAACTTTGATACTGTTCTAGATTTTTCTGCATGACATCACAGTGAATCTTCCTGCTGTGAAAATGGGCGAGGTCCAAAAAACCCCAAAGAAGATTTACAAAAAACAAGTACACACCTATAAACACAAAACACAAAGTCAGCACTGCAATGGAGACATGTCAAACCACAGTGTTAAGATTTTCAGGGGCTGGGGATTAGCTCAGCGGCATAAGCGCCTGCCTTGCAAGTGTGTGGTTGTGAGTTCAATCCCTGGTACCAATAAAAACGAAAAAGAAAAAGGAAAAAATTTTCTTGGGAATCACTTGGTTAACCAGGATGATTTTAGGTGCTTAAAGACACAAATACCACAACTACATGATTTAGGTCCCCCACCTCTACTGCTCCATCTCTAGGATGCCCCAGCTCCAGAAAAAGCTTAACCTCCTGTTTCATCTCTTCCTGCCCTATTTGCCCCGCCTTGAAGGCACAAAATCTAAGAGCAGGAATTCTCCCCACCCCTTCATTCATTTCCTACACAATCTTGGGGAAAACAGTTCAATAAATGAAGTAAAAGGTCACAAGTTCACTGGGGTAAAGCCAATATTCAGGCCTCCTTTTCCTGGAGATTTAAATCTAATGATCAGAAGATAGCCACAGGGATAAAATCTCAAAAAAAAAAAAAAAAACTCTGCTAAGAAAACACCTCAATACATGTATCTCTGGATTCAAAGATCATCTATCTGTAATAACCATCGAATAATTCTATGCTTGTATATATGAGTTGATCATACTGATCAAAGATTTTACAATTAGTGTTTGTTCATTCCACTCATTTTCATGTTTTTAACCATTAATTCTCTCTGATACTTCCCCTAAAGCCACAAATGAAGACTCCTTCAGGGTGGTGATGTGTAGCACCTGCATATATTCAGATATCTTCAAGGTGTCTAGATTACACTAAATTTTATAATTTTCAGCTAAGAGATTCATAACAAACACCTTGGTAGAATGGCCACTTTGCAAAGCTATTTGGAGATGTAACACCACTTTAACAACACAAGTGTTATTAGAAAGGTAGGAATGATCAGGGACTAGAAGAACTGCACTGGGAAGGATGAATTCTGAACTGCTCTTTGTTCTTATTTAGAGAGTGTCTGTGTATCTATGCCGGTTCCTTTCTCATTCCTACAAGGTGTTATAAAAGTGGTTCCCTACTTCTTTAAACCAAAACATAAGTTTGAGTTTTCCATTGAAGTTCAATTCCCTTGGGGGTTGGTGTTATTGTATTTGTGGTATGTGACCAGGTGCTGTGTATCATCCTGCTGTAGAAATGGTTCAGCTCAGAGCTTCTGCTATTGCATGTTTTCAAATACTGGTTATGTTTTTTAAAGTAAAAAAAAAAATGTTCCTACTATGGAACAAGAAAGTAGGAATGCTTTTAATTGAAAGCTAGCTGTCTAATTTTTAATATGGCCTTTATCATTAATACATTTTCAGATATAAAGAACCATGCAGATTAGTCTGAGTCCTCTATTTCTTGGTATTGATCTCTTTGTTCTGACTTTGCTACTGAACTTGGGTGGTACATCAATATTTGGAAAAGCAAGGCTTCTTTCTTGGCTTAGAAACTTCTTTTTCTTTTCTGTAAATTTTAAGGAAAAATATTGGTTCCTTAATATCTTGTTGGAAATTTGTTTTGAATGTATTGGGTTTAAGCCATCTCATCCACAATCATAGAAAGAGGTTTCTCTTTTGTTTCAAATAATCTTTCTTCCTTTTTGGAATTTAGAAGTTTTCTTCAAAGAGTTCTTTGTATTTTTTTTAATTAACATCTATTCATGTACATACTTGTAAATTTTGTACATACTTGTAAAATGTAAATTTTAAGTGTGATATTTCCATACACACATACACATTCTGTGCTCTGATCAAGTTCAAACTCATTTTTTCACTCTGTCCTGTGTTTTTAGAGTTTTATTCAGACTACAACTGACTATATCAAGGTCTTAAAATGTTTTTTCCTAGTAGTTTAAGTTTCTAGTGTTACATTTATGTCTTTGATCCATCTTGAGCTACTTTTGTACAGATAACCATCAAATTTTAATCTTCTACATGAGTATATCCAATTTCCACAGCTAATTGGTTGAAGAAGTTGCCCTCCCTACAATATATGTTTGTTATATGTATTTTTGTCTATAATCAGTTAACTGATTATAGACAAATATGCATGGATTATAAAGTACTGCATGGATTTGTTTCCAAATTGCCACATTGTTGCATTGGTTTATGCATGTATTTTTATGCCAATACCACATTGTTTTGATTACTATGACTTTGTAGTATATCTTAAAATCAGATGTTATATGCCTAGCTATGATTTTTGATGAGAATGCTCTGAATAGTTGAAATATTTTATACTTCTGCATGAATTTTAGGATTTTTTTTTCTTTTTGTGAAGAATATCATTATTTTGATGGGAGCTGCACTGAATCTGTAGTGTTTTGGAGACTTTCTCCTGAACATGTGTTTTAGAACATCACTTTGATATGTAACATTGACTTTCATTTCAGCTGGGCACCATGATAGACTCTCCTGTAGCTTCTTTTTCCGTGATTAATGGCATTGCACACAGTGTACAGTGCAGTGCAGCTGGAAAGACCCACTGTCTCTGTGGGTCATGCAAAAGAAGGCATATTCTAGTAGCTCAGACAGGTACAGTAGACAGCAGTAGATATGGGGCATTCACTGCGTGGATCTTCCTAAGATGTGAGTGATGCCCCAGTCAGGTGAAGAGGTTTCCTTAGGTTGACACTAACTTTACTACTATCAAGAGCCTCTGACACTGGCAGCATGGACAATGCTAAGGAGCCCAAAGGACTTGCCCTCCCCCCAGTAAGTGGTGCAGGTCTATAGCCTGCAAGAGGAGAAGCTGTGGCAAGAGCCATGGCGTCCCTTCCATGGTATTCCCACCAGTGCTGACAGCAGTGGGTGTTCAGGCCATGGCTATGGCCATGGGAACCACTGCATCCTCTCTATCTGCCAGTAATAGATATTTGCACAGAGACCCAAGGCTACCAAAGCCAAGTGGACATTTACATTCAGTCCTTGAATTTGTTTGGCTGTGACTGGTGACACCCTTAGTCTCAGAGGGCAAATGCACTGACCTGGCTCTTGAGGGCCACAACCTCCACTTCCCTCATCAAATACCAATCGTCTGCGGTACAGGGACCAAGCGTGGTTTGCTAGGCAGCTACCCCATGCCAGCACAGAAGAATGTCTATGGATCAGTCTCACAGATGGGGTACACAGGAATTTCTGCTTCCCCTACCCTTCCACCCTAGGAGTTGCTCAAACTCAGATAATAGCTCTGTTCTCAAGCGGGCTCCTGGAGTTTTCGCGGGAGATAGTGTGATGTCTTTCCTAAGCAGTCTACTGTGTCAATTTCAAGCTTCTTACCTAAGTGAGTTGCAGGCCTGCGAGGATTTAGAATCTCCTGAAGCTAGCATTTTCAATGTCTGTGGTGGTACAGGATGCTGGGACTCTTCCTTTCACCCCTCCTCCTGCAGAGGAGACACCCCCTTCTCAGCTGTGGAGCTTGGATGGCAGATACCAGAGTATTTTCTCTTACTAGATCTTTCTCTCTCTTACTGATTTCTATGTTCTGCACAGTCACTTACCTTAAAATAATCATACTTCGGTTACTTTTGTACCTCTTTGTAGAGGAAGATGTAAGTGCTGCTTGCCTCTATTCTGTTATTCTTAGATCATTTCCCAAAATTTTTAATTATTCAATCATTTTATAAAGTTTTCAGTAAAATAAGGAATTCGCTTTAAACAAAATGTACAGTATCAGTTCAGAAAGTTGAGAGTTACAATGAAAGTATAAAAGAAGTCTATGAGTTTTCCACTCATTCTTTTTTGTCTTTAACTTTCCACTAATCTAATGTATCTGAAGGAGAGTCTGCCCAAATTTTTCAAAATAAAATTACCTCTGGGCTTCCACTGTGCATTTTTCAAGCATGGATAATTTAAATCTGAAAGAGATTATTTCAGAAGGCTTTGAAAAACTGAAAGAAAGGTTTATAATGAAAATTACTTTCCTCTTCTATCACAGCACTGTATTGTAATATGGAATTCTCACATACTTAAATGTAGCTATTTCCTCACCCAATCCCCCACAAAATACAATCTAACTAGGAACCATTATAATTCCAGAGACCAGACCCTAAAATCCAAGTCAGCATCCAGGATAGTATAGGAAAAAGCTTGTATCCTAGAACATAGAATAGGTCCTGCCTGTGACCATCTACATCATCTGGACTGTGCCTTTTCCCACTTCTAAATTAAGTTCTCTGAAAAACACTAAATTAGACTAAATTAGATGCTCCATATTACACAGAAGTGGTATTCGCCTTTTATCTGAAATTTTCTAGAGGCTTGTGTAGAAATAGAGATAATAGATGCGTTGTATAGTACTGCTGAACTTCAAAATGAACCATGTTCCTTTTCTAAATCATGGGCATGGTGGGAATAACCTCTTTGGAGGGACGTAGATTTTTCATCTACTGAATAGGGGCTAGCATTCTAGACAATTTCTAAAGTGTTACACTGAATAAAAATTACATGACTCAGATTCCAAGTATGAAAAGTACATAATTCTTGCTCTTATCAAGTGACACATGTATAAATTAAAAAGTTTTGGTTTACAGAATGCTCAAACAGAGATTTTTTGCATCTAACAAAATAGCAACCAACGTAGCATTGGCTGGCAGCTCTGAAGCCCAGGCTTAGCCCTAGTAAGATACTAACATAGACTATAGAGAGGACAGGGAGGTAGAAGGGCTGTAACAATCAAACCAAAAGACTTTTAACATATGTAAAATTATTTGTTTAATTCAGGAAGAAAATAGGCTTCAGAAGCAATAAAATTTGGAAACTTTTAGGAGAAATGAATTTAGGTATGAGCTCTAATACATTTGGTATAACTTCTGGAAGAATAGAAGTGAAAATACAAGTTTAAAGTCAGAAAAAAACATAGGATTATGCAAGAGAAGCAAAAAAGAAACAAAATACAAGACAGATGACATAAAAGAACTTAACAGACTCCATCTTCACCGCAGACAACCTCGAGGCACC